GGCCTGCACCCTGGGAGGGCTGCAGGGCTGTGCTGGACTCTTCCCAGGAGTGTGGGCCCCCAGATCTGTGCTGGATGACAGGAGGCTGCTGCTGCCTCCTGGGACATAGGCAGCAGTGGCAGCGGCAGCCTCCTGTCATCCGGCCTGGTCGCAGGAGGCAGGGGAGAGCTAGGGCTGTGCTCCAAGTGGCTCCGCAGCCGGAGCGCAGCCCTGGCTCTCCCCTGCCTCCTGCCACTGGGCTGCTTTGAAACTCAAAACATTTCAAAACTTTCAAAACATTTTGAGTGCCCTCATTTCGTTTCAAAACTGTTTCAAAGCTTTTTGTTTCAATTCGATTTTGCTGTTTCAAGTTCAAAATGAGGCGAAAGAGCTTTGAAATGAAACACTCAGTGAAATTTTGTGCAGCCCTAGCAGACATGTATATGGATACAGTAAATATTAGCATAATATATATAGAGAGATGTACACAGACACACACACATGTACATACACACATCATATATTGGTCATATTCTATCATCATATTTTTATTACTGAGATCCTTTTTCCTTTAGATTCTTTTGCTCTATATGAGTGATCTGAGTAGATGCTGTGGTTGAAAGTACAGTTCTATACTTTTGTTTTTACACTGTCTGTTGACAGAAATGAAGTGCTTGTGCACAAAGCATCTGAACATGGGGATGGGTAATTTCTCCTCCTCCCAGTAGGATACAAGCTTCATCTGGGCAGCTTTCCATTGACTATTATCCCACATAGAAGTGTTTGAAAATCCTCTATAGGGCCACAATCCAAGAGTCAAAGGGTGAAGCTGAGAGAGCAGCCACCTGCAGCCTTTTTTATATCTGCAGAATATCAGATACATTCAACTTAAACTGTTCTTGGACAGCTCTTGCATCCTGTAATTATCATGTAATATATCCCCACCTCCCTTGAAGCAGGCTAAGGTTCCTTTGGCTCCAGCTTGATAAAGATAATCACTGTTAATATGACTAACATTATGTAATGTGCTGATGGCAGGACTGAGAGAAGCAGTGTGCTCTGGATGAGAGGGCACTGGATGGAGACTCAAGAGACTTGGGATCAATCCCCAGACCTCCCGAGTGACTTTTGCTCAGGGTCACTTATTTTGTTTCCTCTTTCCCATTCCCACCCTCACCCATTGTCTGCTTTGTAATCTGGGCTAAGTACAGACAGGCAAAAAGCCTGAGGCTGAATTGATTCAACCTTTGCAGGTTATTCTAAGATGCATAGATTGAACCAATAAGCAAGTGAACAGACACACACTTTTGATTCCAGAAATGCAGCCACATGCCTGCAGTGGCCCAGGCCAGAAGCTGGGGGGTGTTAGAGCACACCTCCCTGCTCAGCTGGAGCAGACAACTTGAGCTAAGGCTAGCCTGCCCACCCTGCAAGCGGGGGAGGGGGGCTTCAGGGGAGGTACAAAACATCCCGGGATGCTGAGGGACTATGAGATAACTTGAATCTGGAGGGGATCTGACACAGACGTTAATTAAACTGTTTTAACCTAAATCAGTTAAGTCTGATACTACACCCATCCAGGTGTATCTTAAACCAGTTTCAGCCAATTTGATAGCGGTTTACGTGCACTGAACTTCTATTTGTGTTACAGATTTGTACCAGTTTCTGATCCCTTATACCAGTTTATGTATAATTTCTGTCCCTAGAGTATAAGATCCTCAGTGCAAGGACTCCCTCTTAGCACCTTCTTGTGCACAGGATTGTACAACAGAGCTTTAGACATTGCACAGAGGGCCTGCAAAAGGCATACATATAATATAGCGCTTAAGTGGGTACTTAAATGGTGCAAATAGCCTGGTGGGAGAATTTCACCCAGGTTGTTAGACAGTGTCCTCTGGTATAAATATCTAGCAAAACCTGAACTGAGCTACAGCCACAGCCAATGTTGTGTTGGTATCTTCTTGAATCCTAAAGGCTTACCTACACAACCCTCCTGTGCTGTCCAACACCATATAAATCTACAAATTATGTCCTACCGTCATCCAGAGGCCTTTCCTATAATGTGCAAAAGAAACCTCACCAGAAATACAAAGCTGTAGTAAGACTTGGGCAAATGGGGGAAAG